CACAACACTCATGTACGACTTGGCTATGAACACCGACTGTAGTATTGGGACTTACCGGCTAGGCAATATACTCCATGATAGAATTAACAAAAAATGCCTCCTAATCGATGCAACCTAACCCAATGACACGAATTTTGCTACAAAGAAAATTGGAAAACTAAGAAAATATAAAGACAATGAGATCGAGATTTCACGTATGTGGGACACAAAAACAGGCGTGATCTCAATAGTAGTTGGTGCAGTACGTCAGGGGCTGCAGTAGTATCTCGATGAACTGCCTGGAAAGGAAAGTGTTGCACAAGCGCAGAAGATGGCCATTCTTGGTACTGGCCACATAAGTTTCGAAAGTTTTTAACAACAGGAAACTAAAATTTTACACCTCAAAAATCCACTGGACAAAAGTGGCTGAGGAAAATAACAACAACAACAATAAGAAGAAAAAGATGAAAAAGAAGAAAAAAAAGAAAAAGATGAAGAAGAAGAAAAAGGAAAAGGAAAAAATATGAAAAAGAAAAAAAAGAAGAAGAAAAAGAAGAAGAAGAAGAAAAAAAAAAGAAGAAGTAGAATATGAAAAAGAGAAAGAATAGATATAACAATAAAACCTTATAAATGTTGTCATCAAACCCAATCATAATGACCATATTTAAATGTCTAGCCTACTTAATTATTCATTGAGCCAAGGTTACGCCTAGCCAAGAAAAAATAATTCTTTCATTACTTTTTACATGGATGTAATTTATGTAATCTCACATCGAAAATAACATTAACCTATACACAGATAACATCTACAACTACATTAACATATACTCCGGAAACATTAACATATACGCATAACAACACATTAACATATAGGCAGTAAACATCTAATATTGCATCATTAACATATACACAGGTAACATTAAAATATACACAGATAACCTCTACAGCTATATTAACATATACCTATAAAACATCAACAACACATTAGCATATACGCAGTAAACATCTACAACTACATTAACATATACACAGAAAACATTAACATATACACAGATAACCTCTACAACCACATTAACATATACGCATAAGATATCAACAACACATTAACATATACGCAGTAAACATCTACAGCTGCATCATTAACATATACACAGGAAACATTAACATATACACAGATGACATCAACAGAACATTAGCATAGATGCAATCATAACATTAAAATATGCAAATTAGAAACCGCACTCTGTTCAACTAGAGGAAAAACATAAAAATAAAAAATAAATTAACAACAACAACTACTACTACTACTACTACAACTACTACAGCTACCACTACTACTATAACTACTATTACTGCTACCACTACTACAATTACTACTATTACTACTACTACTACTACTACTAATACCACTATTACTAATACTACTACTAACACTAATACTACTCTACTAAAACTACTACCACCACCACTACAATTACTACTACTACTACTACTGCTGCTACTACTACTACTACTGCTACGAATACTGCTACCGCTACTGCTGCTACTACTACTGCTACCACTACTGCTACTACTACTACTGCTACTACTACTATTACTACAACAAAGCAACAGCAACAACAACAAAACAATACAACACAAACAACAGATCAATTTCCATTACAAATTTACATAACATTGAAAATGACGCCGAAAAAATAAACTTTTTCTACAAAACTTCACAAAAAATTTTATTTGTTGTTGTTGATGTTGTTGCTGTTGTTGTTGTTGTTGTTGATGATGTTGTTGTTGATGATGTTGTTGTGTTGTTTTTGTTGTTACTGTTGTTGTTGACATTTTTGATCTATTGTTGGAAACTTTCGGTGACAACTTTGATTCATAACCATTATTATTATCATCATCGTCGTTGTCGTCGTCATCCCCATCATCATCACCATCATCATCTTCATGATTATCACAATCATCATCACCATCATCATCTTCATGATTATCACAATCATCATCACCATCGTCATCATCATCATCATCACTATCACCATCATCATCACCATCATCATCATCATCGTCGTAACACATCGAACAAGTCGACAAGTAGTTTCTTTCATGAAAGCTTATTGCCACTTACACAGCCAATAAAAAAAGACATTAAATCGTAGATTTAATTCTCGATACTTAATCGTGGATGGATTAACAATCTAGCCCAAAAACTCCCAATAAATGAATCAATTAATTAATAAGGTGATGAAAAGTGAACTTAATCGTAATATAACAATTTTCAACATAATGCGAAATATCAATGATACTCAGAAGTTTTGGCAACACGCACACACACACTTACACTTTTCTTTTATTATTTTCTTATATTCAATATTAAAAACATTGTGGACTTCAATGATGACGATGATGATGATTATGATGTTGCTGAAGACAGTATTTATGATGACTGTTATTATGACGGAGAAAATTGCATGAAATAGACTGGTGGAGTCCTTCAGCATTCGAACACGGACACTACGGAAGATAAGCCAATCACTTTAACCACTACACTACTACCTTGTGGTACGTTATATTTTTTTAAAATATCTCTTAATTCTTGGCGATAGCAATGCATGGATTGTTTTTTATCTTATCGATAATCTAGTCCAAACACGAACTGACCATAAATAACGCATAAATAACATTCTCTGCTCTTTGTTAGTCATTCATTCATTTATTCGCTCCTTCGTTCGTTCGTTCGTTCGTTCGTTCGTTCCTTCATTCATTCATTCATACATTCATTCATTCATTCATTCATTCATTCATTCATTCATTCATTCATTCATTCGTTCGTTCGTTCGTTCATTCGTTCGTCCGTTCATTCGTTCATTCATTCATTCTTTCACAACTTTTGCCAAGACAACCATGTGGGAAAAGGATTAATGCTGCTGAGATGTGGTTTTTTGAAAAGAGTTATGAAAATTAGTTGGGCCTCTCATACTTCGAATGAGGATTTATTAAAACAGCCCGGTTAAGAAAAGAGGAAACTACTACAGATAATCCGACAGGGGCAGTTAAAATTTTGTGGTCACATCATGCGGAAGGAAGGAATGGAAAATCTAAAAACTACTGGAAAGATTGCAGGGAGAAGAGATCGCAGTCAACAACGAACAACATTCGTGAAGTCCTTGCGTCACTTGTTGAATATCACCACATTTCAACTACTACAAAGTCTTAAAGATCGGGTTTTGGGGAGGTCGGTGGTCGCCAATGTCCTGAAAGGATAAGGCACGAGAAAGAAAGAAAAGCATACATCAATTCATTTCTTCGAATTGTTTGATTGTATTGTGTAAGAAAAATGTGTGTGTGTGTGTGTGTGTGTGTGTGTGTGTGTGTGTGTGTGTGTGTGTGTGTGATGCACAAAACCTAAGCAAATAAATTGTAAATTGTTATAATAGGATTTAAGAGCAGTCACTTGATGCATTTGAGTTTATTTTTGGGCTTTTAAAACTGTAAAAAGTCATTTTCATTTTGACAGTTTTGACAAAATAAATTCAGTAATAATTACAAATACTTTTTTAAAATATAGAAACAGATAGAGCAAATAAAAAATAAGTCTGCTCTGACAACATTCTTCAGGTTCAAGATTATTTTCCCCACTGAATTACCCCAAAATAAATAGGAAACAAACAATAATGATGAAAAATGTTACAAATTTTAAAAAAGTTACTAATCAACAAAAAAAACAATTTCAGGTTTTCGAATGGTTTTTCGCAAATGAATTAAAGCTAAAAGCTAAGAGGTCAGTCAGTAGTCAGCAACAATACAACGAGCAAGCAGAAAAGCCGTGAAGAGATGCAATCAAGCGTATAATTGCCTACATGGGTGTCTAACTTGATTGCCTAATTAGACAAATTGAACAAAAAAAAAAAAAAAAAAAAAAACTGGCTCACCTAATCATACTTACACAGATGATGCATATAATAGAAATTTAAATCAAACAAATCTCGGTTTAAACTAACATAAAAATAATATAAAAACACACACATACATAGACTGACGAAACACACACCTCACACACACACACACGCATGTCTACACACACATGTCCGCCCACACACACACACACACACACACACATACACACACACACACACACACACACACACAAACACACAAACACACACACACACAAACACACAAAGAAATACAATCACAAAGGCAGCTTAGTAGCACGAGTTTGTCTAATTGGACCGATTCGTTTGCTCATCTCATACATTAAGCATCTAAATGCGGTCTGCATTATGTGTGTGTGTGTATAATGTATATATATATATATATATATATATATATGTGTGTGTGTGTGTGTGTAAATATATATATATATACATGTGTGTGCGTATAAGTATATATTTTGTATTGATATATATATATATATATATATATATATATACAATCATATATTACATATATTACAACGAGCTTTTATGCATTATGTGTATTATTATGTATATATATAAAATAGTACGTACATAATAATTAATATAATTAATACGTTCGTGTATAACAAATAGGAAGTATGCGAACAACGTAATAAGATCACGTGATCTCTATTTATTCCCGTAAATGTATGCATTGATTTGAAATGGTATTTATGAGTAAGCTGATGTAATGTTGTTGTCGTTCACTTGTTCTGGGTTTTTTTTTTATTTTCATGTTTCCATGCAATTTTAGGCGTACATACATTCAAATAATTAAATTTGCATATTCACATTTTTCAATCCAAACAAATATAAACGTTGAATAAAAACAACATAGGAACTAATGAGAATGTATGCTACCTACTCACTTCTTGCTTTGAACTCAAGGTTTCGCAGATACTCGTTGACGTCACTAAGCGCCCCAGTCTGTCTCATTCTGTAGGCAGTCTGGTTGAAGAAGACGAAGCTCACGTTCACATTTCCCTCCTCCAATGTGCTTTTGATGGACGCAGTCAACTGCACACACTCGCTCTTAAAATCTGGACCACTGTTATCAAACCGGTTAAGTATCATTCCCGATATTGTCCAATTAAAGTAATGGTAGATTTTCGCCACTGCGGAACCCAGTTTGGAGTAAGTCCCATGCATTCTGGTTAAAGAACTGTACATAGTTTTGCTGTCTAAATTCTTCATAAAAGCAGCTGTGGAGATGATTGGGAGCTGCCAACTTGAACTGGAAACAACTCTGGTAACTGGAGCAACGGCGTACGGACAGTTTGGTCCCAGGAATAAAGTGGGACGGTTTTCTTTGTCATAATATAGACGGAAAGCTTCTAAGGGTGCTTCAGTTTCAGAACATTGGGAATCCCCGTGGAGAAGGGTGATGTTGATGTTGGAAGGTAGGTAGCTGTATATTTTAGAGAGAGCAATGTCGACTGCTGGTTTGACTTTGAAGAATGAGAACAAATACTTATTAGTGTACGGTAGGAGGAGTGCTATCTTGAAGTGGTAGGAACTGTTCTGTGGTAGACTGATGATGCTGGCTGTTGTGTTACTAGATAAGAAACCACCATCACCGCTAAAAGAAGATGGTAAGGTCAAGATCGGTGGCGTAAAAAGAGTGGTGGTGGAAACTATGATGACGACGAGGTATGAAGAAATGAACAGAAAAGTTGAGCGCATGTGGAATGTTTTGCTGTTCAAATTGCCTTTAAAATACTCCAATTCAATGGTATGAAAAGTCATCATAATTGTCAAATTTGTCAAACTAATTTGCTTCTCACAGTAATAATTTTTAAATTAAATTTCTTCAGTTTCAAACCCTCATCAATTTTCTTCATTTTTTCGTGCCTTGAAGTATGCTTAGTTTATTTCTTCTAAGAGGATTAGAACGTAAGTTTTCTTTGGGCACCTCTTCGCATTCGTCTGTCATTCAATCATAATTTTTTTAAGAAAAAGAGAATAAAAATTAGCAAAAAAGAAAAAGATGATCATTTTTGTTTATTCTTTAAAATATTGATGTCTTTGAGAATCACATGTCACATTGGCTTGTCAGACAAATCCTTGTCATTGCCGGCTTTTCAGCCTCTTTGTTATTATTTTCTTATTCAGAATTTTTCTTCTTTTTATTTTTTCTTGTCAAAATCATCTTTAAAAATGTTGGTAAATGAATATGCAAATAATTTTTCCGTTAAAACATTAATGTTATATATACATTTTACACAGAATATAAATTTTTTTAAACTCGAAAAAATTTTATTAGAAAATTAACAAAAAGCAAACAAAATAATGATTAGCATAACTTCTAAATCTTAGACAAACAATTTGATAATGAATTATCAGTCATATCTTTGTATCAAACACTTTTTTTAAGTTTATAAAAAAATAAAGTTTTTCTTACAAGATAAAACTATTAGCAGAAGAAAAAAAGCAAAAAATTGTAAATGTAGAATTAATGCCTAGAAGGGATGTATTACAATGGGAAGATAAGGATGAAATGTCCTGCTAATTTAACATTCATTATACGATGCTTTATCTAATAAGCCATTAGGGTTTTTTTTTACAATTTTTTTCCTTATTTTACTTTGATTTTTTATTTTATTTAACGTTCGTTTAACAGCTTTACATTTAAAAATCTCATTTTAAATAATTTTTTAAACGCGATTTTCTATTTTTATCTTCAAATTCATTTCAGTTTCGATTTTAAAACTTATATTCTCTCAAATTTAATTATTATATTAATAAATTTATCTTTTTATAGTGTTAAACGAACGTTCATATGTATGTGTATGTGTGTTTCTATGTGTACATGTAAGTATGTGTGTGTGTGTCTCTGTATATATGTAAGTATGTGTGTGTATGACTGTATGTATGTGCGTGTGTATGTGCGCGTGTGTGTGCATGTGTATGTGTGCGTGTATGTGTGTGTGTGTGTGTGTGTGTGTGTGTGTGTGGTGTGTATAAATTAATGTATTGAACACAATGTCTGAATACAGAGCGTTCAACAACATACATAAATTGCATTATCTATTCTAAAATGTCTTTGTTTATTTTGATGTTTACATTAACTTTTCTGTTTTATCTTTGCTTAAATTTAAAATTTTGATGTTTTGGTTGTTGTTTGAGATTTATTGTTGTTGTTGGTTGTTGTTTGGGGTTTATTGATGTTGTTGTTATTGTTGTTGTTTTGGTTATTGTTGGTGTAGTTATTGTTGTTGTGGTTGTTGTTATTGTTGTTGATGTTGTGGTTTTTTCATGTAATTTTTCTTCTGATGAATAATTTTTTTCTGTCTCGTTATTTTTTTCGAGACAATTGAATAAGGATTTTCACAAGTTTTTAAAATTTATCATTTAGAAATTGAACATTTCTTAGCTAAACCTTTCGCTATGTTAATAATATTTTTCCGAAATTTATTTTTACACGCTGAACCAACTGCCCAACTAAATTTTTTTCAATTTCTCCCAATGGATGATGATGAAGAAACTTTTGAGAAAATCATGATTCAAAAATGATAAGAAAACTATTTGAATGGGTGTACAAATGATGGAGCTAAGAGTTGTTCAAAACGTTTTTATTTACTATTATTATTATTATTATTATTATTACTTTATTATTATTTTTATTATTATTATTATTATCACTTCTACTACTACTACTACTACTACTACTACTACTATTACTACTATTACTACTACTACTACTACTACTACTACTACTACTACTACTACTACTACTACTACTACTACTACTACTACTACTACTACTACTACTACTACTACTACTACTACTACTACTACTACTACTACTACTACTACTACTACTACTACTACTACTACTACTACTACTACTACTACTACTACTACTACTACTACTACTACTACTACTACTACTACTACTACTACTACTACTACTACTACTACTACTACTACTACTACTACTACTACTACTACTACTACTACTACTACTACAACTAATACTACTATTGTTATTATTATTGTTATTATTTTATTATTATTATTATTTTAAAAGCAAAAAAAATAAAAACAATTCTTAAAAAATCGTCCAACCGTAAGAACCTTAAACGCGCACTGTAGGTTATTATTATTTAATTTAAAAAAACAGTTAAGAGTCAAAGGTTAAAGGTCAATAAGACTTCTTAAAAATTCTACAATGGGAGCAACATATTGGAAAAAAGAATGTTATATGAATGAATATGTCTTGTAAGACGCATCAAACACGTGTGATAATTAGTTGGAGATCCTTTTGTCGCGTTCGAACCTGGGGACTGCGTAACAGCAACAGGCGACCTCTACCGCTAGGCCATCATTTTAGAATTGAAAAAAATGATAATATATTTACTCACTTTTAGTTGGATGAATTTTTTTTAATTTTTTTTTGGGAGAAATTAAATTTTAAAATAAGAAAAATGTTTAAATTTATTTGAAAATATTAAAATTAACTTAAAATTAATATCGGTCCATTATGGAAAAAGAATCATAGCTAAAGTTTCACACACAGTGCATCGCTTTATAAAGCAACGATATGGCATTCAGTTGTCTCCTTATAAAAGATTCATGCACATGCACACATACACACATACATACAACATACATACATGCATACATACATACATACATACATACATACATACATACATACATACATACACACATACTTCCATACATATCATACTTATATTCATCTGAATTGAATGCCTTATAAAGAATACATTCAATTGTCTAAATGTATATATAAAATTATATATATATATTTCTATGTAGATTTAAATATTGTATGTACATATTTCATTCATTTCATTTCATTTCAAAGTTTTATTCATAATCAACAACATATCAAATAAATGAATAAAAGTTATGAAGTTGAATATGCGGAGACCGAATAAGACTGTTTGTCTTGTGGTGGCCACTGCAAGTAGATACATGAATAGTTAATGAAATAAAATAAGGAAAATAACTGAAGCAGAAAGATAATTGAAGATAAATAAGTAAATGTTCGTGTCATACATATATAGACATATAACTATGTAAATGTTCGCTCAGTACATATATAAACACATAAATATATAATTATATAAACAAATATATATATATAATATTTATTTAATTAAATATATATAAAGTTATTATTGCAAAAAGTTAACCAGAGTTGAAACAACAATTTTCGAATTCGGTTTATAATTAATTTTTTAATTTTCTCACTAAAACAACATTACCGAATTTTCATTAAGTCCAGAATTATTAAGTTCATAGTTTATTTGATTTAAAAAAAATCATTATTATTATTATTATTATTAATATAATAATAATAATTGTTATTATTATTAATTTGTGTGTATTGGGTCCAATTCTGTTAAATAAATGGCCTTCCTTATCGTTTTGTATACGTGCTAGCCACTGCGGTGTAGCGGTTAGGGTGGCTGACACTTCTGCTTCAGCGACCGACTAGGAGTGCACAGTAATCACAGACTATCACATGTATTGTATTTGTATTGTGTGTGGGTTCACGTGTGTGTTGATGATGTCATACATACATACATACATACATACAAGCACACACACATATACAAACACATGCATACACTCGCACACTTAGCATTCAAATATACAACTCAAAGCAAATTTAAGCCATTCTAGTACCTACATTACAAGCGATAAAGACTATAATCCCATTTGATACTAAATAGTGCACCCGACTCATTCAAACAAACATACACACACACATACATACATACATTCATACATACATACATACATACATACATACATACATACATACATACATACATACATACATACATACATACATACATAAATATACATATACAAACAAACATTCCTACACACGCACACACAGAGGTAAACAAACGAACCTACTCAACTAGAAAATAACTCGTGCAAACACAATGAACAAGACTGTTGAGCATCTACATCATCTGGGACGAAATTGAGGAATAAAGTTGTTCATGGACGTCAAACACACACTCACACACTCACACACACTCACACACACTCACACACACACACACACACACTTACTCACATACACACACACACAAACAAACACACACATACGAACACATTTACACACACACACAAAGTTGAGAAAATTTTCCAGCTGCTCTTTTTTTCTCTGAACGTTAACCTAGTGTATGTAGTTTTAGCATGCGTGTCGAATTGGCCAAAGATGGAATTCTGGAGAAAACATTAAAAATGAAATTTTACTTTGCTTTGCCATTCTGTGTTTTTCTGAGTTTGTTTCTTTTGGCATAGTATTTGTTTGTTTGTTTGTCTGTCTGTCTGTTTGTCTGTCTGACTGTCTGTTTTGTTTGGTTTGTTTGCTTGTTTGGTTTGTTAGTTTGTTTGTTTGGTTTGTTTGTTTGTTTGTTTGTCAGTACGATTGTATGTTTATTGTATGTTTATTATTAGTAGTTTGTATGTTGTAAGACTTTTATATTGTAATGTGTGGTATTGAATTGTAT